ACCGGAGGTGCTTTTCCTATCTAATTTGCATCCTCCATAATCCGCATCAGAAAAAGCATGCAAGCTAAAGTTAGAGTCTCTTGGATACCAAAGTCCTAAACTAGGAGTGTCCTTAAGGTATCTAAAGATTCTCTTAACAGCTAGTAAATGTGATTCCTTAGGACATGATTGAAATCTAGCACATAAGCAAACACTAAACATAATGTCCAGTCTACTTGCTGTAACATCCCCAAAAGCCGGATCAGTGACTAAAATGTAAATTTTGGAAACTGTGTGCTCAATTTTGAAATAAGTTAAAAGTGTTGGGATTTAAGTAAAGAATGTTGATGATGGATTGAATAGCATAGATGGATAATTAAAGGGGTAATTTAGTCTTTTCAGATTAAAGGATATTTTGTATTTCCTTTAAATACAGGTGATATACGTGGGTTTTGGGAGAGTTCTGGAAGCCTTCTTCTTGCTTCTTCTTCTTCTTCTCGTAGCTCCAGCTTAAAGGTAAGTTTGATTTTTAACTGTTAATTTCTGGAATTTATAAGTTGGTTTTGAATCTTTGGGGGTTATAAGCTTAAGGAAAGCTTGTATAACTTAAACATCAAGAAGGGAGAATTAGAAAGGAATTTCTATTAAAAGATTAGAAATGAAGTTTTGATATAGAAAGGTTTTTGAAATTCTAAGGATGAATTTGACTTGTCATCAATCTAATTAAGAAGTATAAAGTGTTAGAATTGGAATTAGAACACATTGAAAATTTGGTATGATTTTTTGAATCTCGTATGGAATATAGGATTTTGAGGTTTAAGATGAATAAATGAATATAGATTGGTTTAAGTATGTGTACTAGAGTTAAGAATGAAAGGGGATGATATGAATGTTTGAGAGGAAATGAAGTAATTTTCGGGTTGAAAATATGATTTCTGGCAAGGGGAATCGGTACCCATTCAAGGGGAACCGATACCCCTTCAAACGACAAAATTTCCAGAATGTCATGAGGGAATCGATACCCCCTCAGTAGGGAACCGATTTCCCCTAAAGAAAAAAATGGGAATATTGGTTTAATAAGTTCGTTTAAGTTGCTAGTATCTAATTAAAAGGTGTAGGTATCTAATGATTACCTCGAAATGTACATTTATGTAGATTCTACGCATAAAGAAATTCCGGAACGTTTGGCAAGTAAGATCGATCAAGGGAAAGATAAGAGATTAAAATTGACTAGTGAGGCCAGGTGAGTGCATATTCAATAGTATACGATGTGCGATGGGAATAAGACTTGCGATGAGTCTATTTCCTAAAGTGTTACACATGAATTCATGATTAAAGGCATGAGTGGAATATGCATGTATGTATGCTTGATTATATGGATTGATCTGTTCTTTTATGTGTTGGATGATAAAGTATAAGTAATTCCATAAGAAAGGTTATGCATTATATGAGATATAAACTATGTGATCATAGTAAAATATAATTATTATTATATGATAAGTGAAATAAGCTGGATATTGATCTATAGGATGAAGTGAGAATAGTACACTAACTAGGAGATTTGAACATAAATGATAAGATGAACATATAAGATAAGCTAGATGGGAAAGATTCATATGTTTAAATAAAACTATAACACATGGGTTGTATGATAGAAATTATGAAGTTATATGAGAAGATTATAGGAGTTATGAAATTGAATTAAGTAAACATTATTATATAGAGAAATAATAGAAGTGAGATATGTTATAAGTCTGCCCTAGATGAATATGATACGAAATATAAGAGTGCTATATGATTTATATTAGGATAATCTTGAGGATATATATATATAGATATGAACTGAAATGAAATGAGTTATATGAATACACAATTATGTGATGAAATGGTGGATTACCTGAACATGTGAATATATATATATAATGTCTAAGAGAAGGCATAAGATTAAGATATAAGCAATGTGACTATAATATGTGCTCTCAGTGATATGACTTATAAGTATTTCTATTATAATGTTACATGATATGTTATGTATGTTAAAGGAATTATGTGATGGTATAAGAATTGATATGAAATATATATGTGAAAACAAGTAATGTTATGAGACAAAACCTATGATTATAAGCTACGTGAAAGTGTTCCTATCTGTTATATGAAGTATATCATATGTGAACATATATGATGAGTATGTGTACATGAATAAGGTGATTGGGTGAGAATGATAGAAATATGAAAACATGACATATGTGACATGTGAATTATATGGAATGATCTACGTGTAAGTGAACTACGTGACTATGTGATCATATGAAAAAGCTATGTGATACGTGATATGTGAAAGTGAATTACAAGTTTATGTGAATATTTGAAATGAAATAAATGATAACGCCCATGTTATGTGTCATGAGAGCTAGGGGTATAGTTGGCATGCCAAGAGTCGGGTCTACGAGGTTCTTCGGGACATATGTATTCTTTGGAACATGTGTGAAGTCTGGAAAGACACATACTTGATCCCTAGCATATGTATATGATTCTTAAAGAATTCTATGTGGTCCTTATGGACATTATTATATGGCATTACGTGCAATTCTACGCGGTTCTTCGGGACATATGTATATTCTTTGGAACATGTGTGAAGTCTGGAAAGACACATACTTGATCCCTAGCATATGTATATGATTCTTAAAGAATTCTATGTGGTCCTTATGGACATTATTATGGCACTACGGTGCAATTCTACGCGGTTCTTCGGGACATATGTATATTCTTTGGAACATGTGAAGTCTGGAAAGACACATACTTGATCCCTAGCATATGTATATGATTCTTAAAGAATTCTATGTGGTCCTTATGGACATCATTATGGCACTACGGTGCAATTCTACGGGGCACTTCGGTGCGTTTATACGAGCTGTGGTGACAGCATAGTGCACAACCTCTATAGACTCACATATCGATAGTTCTCACATATGTACATGGGCTAATCCAGAGATATGAACAAATATAAGTTAGTATGAAATGCTATAGAAATGATATGATGTTTGTGTGTATAGTGTTTGATTGAAAAAGTATGTGATTATATGATAAACTGTAAATGATGAATTATGTGTATGTATGTATTTACTGCAATTAATGATTTTTATACGATATGAAAAATGCATGGAATTGCTATAACATGATAGAACAGAACATGCATGTATCAATATATGTTTTAAAGTGCATTAAGTTGTTATGCCTCACTAAGTCTTCGACTTAGCGTGTGATTGTTTCACACGTAGGTTTCGAGAAGAGAGGGATGCGGAGTAAGACAGGTCAGTTTCCTTACCAAAAATCAGATCAGAAATATTGACAAAGTATGTATTTGGTTATGTATAAAGTGTTGGCATGTAATAAGTCATTAAGTACGAGCACTCTGATAAAGTCTTTATTTTGATTTAAATAAAGTTTTAAATTTCCCTGGATTTTTCTTAAGAGTCAAGGTTTGAAAAGTCAATGTGACACTTCGGACTCGTATCCGGGTCGGATACAGGTTGGGGTGTTACACTTGCAGTTAGATAAAGTAGAGATCCAATCATTGACCTATATAATTTAACATCTACACATTTACCTCATTCATCTAAGTCAAGCTTTGTTGAAGAGCTCATTGGAGTGTCACGAGGTTTAGCATTTTCCAGTCCAAACTTCTTGAGCATATCTTTGATGTACTTAGCTTGATTGATGAAGATGCCATCTTTTCTTTGCTTGATTTGGAGTCCCAAGAAAAATGAGAGCTCCCCCATCATGCTCATCTCAAACTCACTTTGCATTAGCTTAGAAAATTCTTGGCAAAGAACATCATTAGTAGAACCAAATATTATATCATCAACATAGATTTGAACTACTAATAAATCTTTACCTTTATGTTTTTAAAACAATGTAGTGTCAACCTTCCCTTTTGAAAAACCTTTTTCAATTAAAAAATTTGACAATCTTTCATACCAAGCTCTAGGAGCTTGTTTTAAACCATAAAGAGCTTTTGTCAATTTAAGAACATGATTCGGAAATTTTGAATCTTCAAAACCTGGAGGTTGTTCCACATACACTTCTTCCTTTATAAAAACCATGTAAAAATGCACTTTTAACATCCATTTGATATAATTTAAATTCATGAAAACATGCAAATGCTAATAACATTCTAATTGCTTCCATTCTAGCTACAGGAGCGTATGTTTCATCATAGTCTATGCCCTCTTCTTGAGTATACCCTTGAGCAACAAGTCTAGCCTTGTTTCTCACTATATTACCACTCTCATCAAGCTTATTTCTAAATACCCATCTAGTACCTACAGTAGATTTATTACTAGGTCTTTCAACTAATGTCCATACTTTACTTCTCTCAAATTGATTTAACTCTTCTTGCATAGCCATAATCCAATGTTCATCATTTAATGCTCTTTAATATTCTTAGGCTCTATGCATGAGATAAATGCAACATAATTACAAATATTTCTAAGAGAAGATTGAGTTGTTACCCCTTTTGATGGATCACCTATAATTTCACCATCCTTGATATAGTTGTACTCTCTTGGATAAGATACTTCCCTTTCTTCAATGGTTGGATTCTCAAGAGGATCATGAGTTTGAATTTATTTCCCGTGCCTTGTAGTAATGCTCCTTTTCCTACAAACATAGATTAATTTCTAATTTTTGGTACCCAAATTCTTTTGGGTCCATATTCATTAGTTTCCAAAATCCTAGTCCCCTTAGGTATCCATTTGTGTAGGATATCCTTATCTTTAGTAGTAATGAGCTCCTTAGGAACCCATATACTTCTAACGATTTTTTCATTAGAGGTTCTTTGGGGACCTCTATAATTGTAGTTTTTAAAACTTTTTCTAACAAAGTTGGATTTTTAATTTTCTCCACTTTCAAAACGTTTTGTTCCAACTTTATCAAAAGAAGCTTTAAGATCATCAATTTTCTTTTGATGATCATCATTGACCTTTGAAAGTAAATTTTGCAAATCTAAATTTTTTCCCAAATGCCATCATATTTCTGAAGAAGGTTCCGATGAAGAAGAACAAGAAGTAGCAAACTTGTGCTTGATGGCATTCGGGGAAGATTCTAAGGTAACCTCTAACTCATTGATGAGGCTCATTGACCTTAGAATCTTCCCCGAATGCCATCAAGCACAAGTTTGCTACTTCTTGTTCCTCTTCATCGGAACCTTCTTCATCGCTCCATGTAGCCACATGAGCCTTGTGCTTATTCTTTGATTGAACCTTCCTCTTTAATTGTGGGCAATCATATTTGACATGCCTTGGCTTTTTGCATTCATAGCAAATGATCGGGTCCTTTTCTTTTGGTTCATTTTTGAGGCCTTCATTTCGTTTGAATTTTCTTCCTCAGTAAGGTCTCATCATTTTTCTGAACCGTTTGGAAAACAATTCCATTTCCTCGTCATCGTCATCTTCATCCAAAGCACTCTCATTTTTGGTGGATTTGAGAGCAACTCCAATGTTTTTCTTCTTCTCCTTCTCCTTTGGTGTCTCTTCAATCTTATCAAGGTCCACCTCATCTTCAAGCATCATTTCATGAGTGAGGAGTGAACCGATTAGCTCTTCAAGAGTTAAGGATGTTAGATCCTTAGACTCGATGATTGTCGTCTTCTTTGATTGCCACAATTTTAGGAGGGAGTAAACTAACTTCCTCACAAGCTTTTCATTTGAAATGATCTCTCCATATGATTTGAGACCATTGACAATCGTTGAAAATCTATCCGTCATAGCTTTGATATCTTCATTTGGTTTCATCCTGAAATTTTTATAGCTATGCGTTAGAATATTAATTTTAGATTTCTTTACCTCATCGGTACCTTCATGAGTGACTTGAAGTTTATCTCATATTTCTTTGGCGGTTGTACAAGATGAAACTCTTCCGTATTCATCTGGTCCAAGAGCACAAAATATGATATGGATGGCTTTGGAGTTGAGCTGGAACATTTTTGTCTCTCCTTCACTCTATAATCTTGGATGAGTGAGAGGCTTGAAGTATCCTTCTTCTACGACATTCCATGCTCCCATGTCACTTGCTTTAATGAAGTACATCATTCTATTCTTCCAATAGGCATAGTTAGCCCCATTGAAGAAATGATGCTTGTTGACGGGCATCGAATCGAGATCGGAGTCGAAGTTTGAAGCGGAGGCCATTGATGACTTTGATTATCGATATAACTCTTCCCGAATCGACTCAAGAGGTGATTAAACCTTCAAATGAATGAGTTAGGCTCTGATACCAATTGTTGAGTTAATCGATTGATGGAATCAACCAAGAGGGGGGTGAATTGACAATAAAAATTTTGGTGGAAGCTTTTGTAGAAAATTGAAAATAATTGCACAGCGATTTAGAGTGGTTCGACTTTCTCAACCAAATTCTACGTCCACTACCTTAGCTATCCACACTAAGGATTTTCCACAAATTCACTAATTTGTCTTTCTTTTGAGGAAAAAGAGTAACCTTACAAAACCTCAAGAATTATACCCTAAATTCTTGAGAACACTCTCTCCCAAAGAGAACAATACAAATTTGCAAACTTACAAGGAAATCCTCACAAGGTAGATTGTTTGAACAATTCTAGAACAAAGAAAAGAACACTAAAAAATGAATACAATTGAGCACAATAAGTGTTCTTGAAAGCAAGATGAATATTGAATGAAAAAAATAGGCTTGAAATGCTCAAACTTGAGGTTTGATGCTTTCTCTTTGATTCTCTCTTGATTCTAGTTGCTTGATGTTTCTTGTTGTTGATCAATGGCTTCTATGCTTGCTTAAATACACCTTGAATCACTTCTGAACATTGGGGATCATTAATGAAGATAATATAGTCGTTTTAGTGTGAAAACAATTAATTAAAACAGTTGGGAGCGTCAGTGCATCGATGCATACCCATGGTGCATCGGTGCATCAGTGTAAAATTCAAATATTTTGACCGTTGGACCCTTAGTGCATCGGTGCACTAAGAGTGCATCGATGCATCAAGTGCATTCGATGTTTCAAAATAGCCAGAGTGCATCGATGCATGGTTGGTGCATCGATGCATCAAATGCATTCGATGTTTTCATAAAATCCTCAGTGCATCGGTGCATGGTATGTGCATCGATGCATGAAATGCATTCAATGTTCAATTTAATTCATAGTGCATCGATGCATGGATTGGTGCATCGGTGAATCACTCTGAAAAATTGATTTTAGGCTTGATTTTGGTTCAAAATACTTTGGAAATTTGTTTCAAAAATATATCAAGTATAAAACACAATTTTACACAATTAGTAAGGTTTGAAATTAATCTTAAAAGACTTGGAGTAATAATTTGATATTCAATTAATTAAATCGAATATACTTAGAAAATCATTTGTAAAATCTTAAAATTCATTTAAATTTAATTTGTTATATCGAAACACAAAATGTTTTCAACAGCTAGTTTATAAGTTCTTGGAATTGTGGGATATTATTGTAAGAATGTAATATTTGAAGGGTTCAATGTTGATTTTTGATATTTGTAATGCTGGAAATTAAGTTTGAAAGTTGTTTGGAACCAAATTGCAAATTTGGTAAAAATTATAAGTGGAATTCGAAATGTCTCAACCTTGGGGACTTGTTTGCAAGTTATTAAATGTAGAGGTGTTGTTTGGGGGTAAATTATTGAATGCTGGAAAATTTATTAGTATGCTGAATTTTGAATTAAATATTGAGTTGGGTTGAATTACAAAGTTATAAAGTTAGGTATTTGAAAATCGAAAGTTTAGGAAAGTTTGGGTTGAAATTATAATGTTTTGAATGTTGAAGCATTGATTTGGGTATTTTATTAAAGTGCTTGAATTTTATTAATTAATTTGCAATGATCATAATGGTAAAGGACCATTATGAATTAAATGGAAAGGCTGAGGTGAATTCTAAAAAAAAAGAATTCACAATTTGTGGCTTATTTGTGTAAATTAGCAAAAGATAAAGGGTTAAGGATGAAAATAAATATTCATAGATTTGGAAGAGTATTTTGAGAAGTTGGAAATTATAATGGAAATGTGATTTAGTGTTATATCGATTTAATCTTGATTTTTATTTTATAGAATTGAATGTTAAAATCATATTATGTTAGTACGATACTAATACGTAGTTTGAACATTTTATGTTATTATTTGATATTGTCAGACTACGATAAACCTAGCGATCCGAATGATCCGAAAGAAAATGGCAAAACTCGTGACTAGGATTATTGTATATCAGTTCTGTAGTGAGGCAAATAATGAGTGCAGTTTATTTATTTAATTATTTCAATTGAGGACGACTTGCGATAAGTCAACCTCACATTATTTATTTCAAAGTTATGAATTATGTTTGATTTTGGAATTATATCCGTAATATTTTAATAAGTTTTATGAATGATTTTGGGTATGAACTCCCATGTCATGTTTTACAAATGTGATTTAAATATAATTCTGATTATGATATTATTTTTATCAAATGATTACGAATTGAACTAAAGCTCACTGTATGTTATATTGAGAGTCAAAGGTACAATTGGTATGCCATGAGCTGGAATGATTATATTCTGATTCCGTAATACTGTGGTGTACCAGAGTGTACACTAGTATATATATTCCGATGTGATTGCACTTTGTGTGCATATTGTGATTTCCGATGTGATAGCACTATTTGTGCTTATTTGTTCTGATTCTGATGATAGCCCTGAGATATGTATTGCACACCCTTATCTGACTCATGTACCTTATATTCTCTTAAATATACTTTGGGCTATAAAAATGAAATATGAAAATTCTGAAAAGTGTCTGACTATAAAGGAATGTTGACAGATTATTCTGTCTGATATGACTTATTATGATTTTGTAAAAATCATAAGATGATTCTTTTCAGGTTTATGATAAAGAAACAACATGAGATATCCGATTTGAACGTTTTGTCTGTTTTATTTTAAATAATTTTAAATATTTTGATACTTTATTTATTCTCACCTTTAGTATTATTGTCTCACGAAGTTGTACTTAGCGTGTGATGATTTTCATGCATAAGGTCTGATTGAGATATAATGTTTTGTGAGGAGCCTCTCAAGTGTTTTGTGAAGATCATTCATAATATCAATATCAGTAAGACATCATTGATGTTTCTTTTGACTAGTAGTGGCATGTATAATTATGTTATCAGTCTTCTTTATCATATATGACTAAATGATTTGTAATAGTAAAATTAGAACTGTTTAATTTGACTCGTTATATATTATATATATATATATATATATATAAATGGTACGGAAGTTCAAGTAGATATAAATAGTTTTAAAAGTTGAAAACATGAATGTTTTAAAAGAAACAAATTTTTTAATCAATTGTGAATAGTAAACATCGGTCCATTTGATGTGACATCTATGAGTCGTATTTTTAGATATTTACGGGCTATGAGTGGTACAATAGCAATGAGCTCGAATCCGATGTATTATGCAAAGACGGAACACGTGTATCTCAATGTCCACTTTGTTAGGGAACGAGTATATGCTAATAGTTTGCATGTGAACTACGTACCTGCTGAGCATCAAACAGCAGACGGACTAACTAAGCCCTTGAAAAAATCATATTTTCAGATGTTTCACCAAAAGCTGACAGTGTTGTTGTCGATAAAGGAAGCGAAAAACGGAAGAAACAGGGGGAATATTAGATACGTGATAGTTGGAGCTTAGCTGGAGACTTGCAGTTAGGTTGTTAGGTTGTTAGGGTAGTCTGTTGTATAGTGGTTAGCTGAGCAGTCTACTTACAAAATGGCTGTCCCTTTTTCCCATATGTATGGGGTAAGGGGGAGGTAAGATAGTAGGCTGCCCCCAACACCAGGTTGAGAGCAGCTTCTGTAGGAGACCTCCAAATTATGAAATGCCCTCCGTGGGACTTGATCCCACGACCTCAAGGTTTAGAACCTTGTGCTCTACCAACTGAGCTGGATGGTCATTTCTAAGCAGTCTACTTACACTTACATATAATGAGGTCATCTTCTCATGTATTGTACGTTGCTCGTATATAAAAGTATTATTTCTTGATCAGCTTATTTTGGGTTTCCTAATAACTCCTAATTCAACTATAAAGGTTCAAAACTTTAGAGGTGTTCAAGCGGAAGATCAAATGTAACACTCCTAATTCAACTCACTCATAATTTAAGTTAAAACTGTCACATCAAAAAAGCTAAAACTTAATAAAACTAAGCATGTATTCAATTTACAGATATGCTCAAATCGACATTTGAGGGTTAAATTACAATAAATAGAAAATTGGGTAAATTATATTAATGATCACTTAATTATTGTCTCCATTCACTTTAACCATCAATATTTTAATTTTTTCAGTCATACCATCTAACTATTTATTTATATTCAATCAAGCTAGTTGTCGTTAACATTTTACTGAAATGTTGATGTGATAGTTAACAAAATTGACATAATTATATATGTAACACCCTAATCCCAAAGATTCGAGTGTCACACGGAATCACCGAAGTAATTGATCGTTTTTTTCCCTTTGAAACAATTTACTCAAACCTTTTAAAATAGTAAATCAAATATCAAAATCATGTGTTTTAGTAAAGAGGAGCTCCTTATTTAAAAATTCAATAAATATTTACATAATTAAAATATCACAACTTGACCCAAATTTCAACCAAAACCTCTATATGTGTGTCGAGTCGACATCACTGTACTCTGGTACTCTGTTGAGACTCATCCGAGGATACCATTGTCTCATCACAATCCACGAGACATGTAATATGTAGATGTAAACATTTGAAAGGTTGAGCTAACAAGCTTAGTGAGTATACATCTACTCTGCTATATTTAAGGATTCATAAGCATGCAAATCAAATATAAGCATAAAGGCATCGAACATAATATAAGTCTTCCCTCACTAGTCGTCAATGCTCAAGTATTTCCTCTAGCCTAGAGAGCATCATAAGTCATATTATTCTCATTTTATGAATATCGTGATTATTAACATTCATTTATAACCTAATCAAGTGTGTTATCAATCATCTACTGATTCAATGACTTTGTGTCTTATACTCGTAATTTCTTTACTAATTGTAAGCTATTTCATGGCACTTAGTGTAACAAAATAGTCATCTACAGTACAAAATTTCACCTAGCCTCAAGTATTATAATCAACAAGGATATCAAGCATCAAAATCAATAACAGGCATACTCCTTAGTCACACTTAGGTACACACATAAACACAGATAGGCATCATGGTGTAGTGCAAGATCACACAACATTTGTGACTAGCACCCTCTAGCCTACTGAAGGTACTCTAGATGAGACATGGGTCATACAACATCAAATCTTTATCTAGAAAGGCTCTCGTTGTCAAGTACTTAAGGTGAGATCTGGGTCACACAATATCAATAACATACACCTGTTAGTTTACTTCTCATGAGTATTCAGGACGCCTCCGGGTCACACAACATCAGAGTAACACCTAACTAGAATTTAAGTGCCTTAGCATTGGTTTGGATATATCCGAATATTTCTGATTTTTTTTCAACTATATATTTTTTCTAATAACTATCTATTTAATATTTTTTTAGGGCTCTAACGAATACTTTTGGTTATAAAAATAATTTTCAAAATTAATATTGAATGGATATTTCAAACTATTTTCTCAAGATGTAACACTTATATGACTTATAATAGTATTTATTAGTGTTGTAGAGTTAGGGGTGTAAAAAACTGGTGTTGACTTGAACCCGAGTTTGACATGGTAATTTTGGATTTGAGGCCAACCTGAGAACGACTTGAATCCGAATTGAACCTGATAATGTGATAACCGAACCTGACCTGCATTTGATATGATATGAACTCGAATCTGATATTAACCTAGTAAATAACTGAAATTGCCTAACTTGTTATCAACATGACCTTTAATTGACTCAACCTATGATCTAGCTTGTTATTGAACTAATATGATATTAACTCAACTTGGTATTTACTTGTAAGTTGCAATTGATGAAGTTGTGAGATTATGAATTTATTATATTATAGTGTGATAAATATAATTTTTCACTATTTAAGGTGCATAATTAATTATAATCATTAAATTAATATGTTTACTTTTTATACCTATAAATAATAATTTAAAAATATATTTAAAAATTGTATTAAATTATTAACTTGTGATTGATAAAGTTAATAAAAGATAATTATTCATAATTTAAAATAAATTATTAATTATGATCACTAGATTAATAAATTTAATTATGATATGTATGTAGGATATGCACTATGTACGTATGTATAATTTATTAATGTATGTATCATTATGTATGATATGTATATATTATGCATTAATTTATGATATATATGTATATATATGTATATATCATGTATGTATTATGTATAATTTATTATTTATTAATGCATGTATTATGTATTTATTAGTCCTTAAAAAGAAATTTTTTTTCAAAATTGATTCATAATTATTTATATTTTTTGAAATTTACTCCAAACAATATAAATTACGTCATAAACTTCAAACCCTAGGAATTATATCATAAATTCATAATCTATAAATTTTTGTTTACCAAATTTTCAAATAAATGCAATTTAGTCCATTTTGATATTAATTTCAACGTATATTTTACAATTATTTCAATTTGATCCATGTGTGTTGTTTATTTTATTTTAATTTCACTTTGTAATTTCATGTTTGTTAAATTTCAGTCTTTAAAACTATATTTTTATTCAAAATTGGCCTGTAATTATTTTTATTTTTTGTAATTTACTCTAAACCCTATAAATCACATCGTAAACTTTATTTCGAACCATATAAATTACATCATAATCTCCGAACTACATAAACTTTTGTTCACCAACTTTTTAAATGAATGCAATTTAGTCCATTTTGATATTAATTTAATCTTTACATTTTATAATTTGATATTTGTGTGTTGTTTAATTTATTTAAATTTTAATTTATAATTTCATGTTTGTTCAATTCAATTTTTAAAATTATATTTTTATCCAAAAATGACACATAATTATTTCTATTTTTTGTAATTTACTCAACCCTATAAATCACATCATAAACTTCATTCTAAGCCTTATAAATTATATCATAATCTCCAAACTCTATAAACTTTTGTTCACCAACTTTGTAAATGAATACAATTTAGTCCATTTTATATAAATTTCAACTTTGCATTTTACAATTGTTTCAATTTGACCCATGTGTGTTGTTTAATTTATTTAAATTTTAGTTTGTTCAATTTAGTCCCTAAAATTTTATTTTTATTCAAAATTGACTCATAATTATTTCTATTTTTTGTAATTTAATTCAAACCATATACAATTACAAATTTCCATTGAACGTTCGTGAAAGGCCCAAAATAATTCACCCGAAAATGATTTGACTTGAAGTTCACCCAAAATCAATATTACTCTACCCGAATTTCAATTGTTAATGATGTGACCCTGTCTGAATGAGAACAACCCGAAGTCCATTCTAACCTGAATTAACCTAATTTGGACCCAAACCATTTTGACATGAACTGATAGTGATCTGACTTGAAATTAACCCGACTCGAAATCTCAACTGAATTTGATTTAAAATCAACTTGAAAATGACTCGAACTCTAATCGATCCAGACCCAACTTAATCTGATTCGAACCATTAAATTGACATGACATAGTTCGTATTTGATTTCATTCAACCAAACATGATCCCTGAAACTTGAACAATTACTACAATGTGCATAGCAAGTTTACCTCGCAAGTCATAAAGAAAATGATTGTCAAACTAATCAAAAATGTTTCATGCAAGAAAGCGAAATGGACGGAACTAATTAATTATATATTATATGTCAGGACTGTTGAATCTCAAACTATTTATGAACTTTCTTTTCTGTTCTGTTTTTGCTCATAAACTTTGTTCTCTGTTGGTGAAAGCAAATTTCTTCAATGTTATCCAGAGTTGAACCAAATTGATTAATGGAATATTTCCTTTTTTTTCTTCTTTCATTAGATTATTATGGAACTTCGAATATAATTCCACTTTATAAATTTTACGATTGAAGTTGTAGACTTGTAGTTGGAAAACATTAACGTGTAAATCTTTGAACTAATTGATGTAATTTCTTACGTTATATGATTGGATTGAGTTAAATTAATCAGAACTTTAAAACTTTTTAAATATCTTATTATTGTAAAGATAAATATATGCTGCATAGTTTTCTGCTACCCAGATACCTGATGTTCCCATTTCTTGGTGTAAATCAGCAGTAACTCAAATATATCAGATAAAAAATATTAAAATCTTCACGAAGCATATTTCAGTGCGTGTACAGTGTTGGGTTTCATAAAGGGCAAAAAGATGTCAAATTTCAGTTAGTGCATGCCCACTGCCCAGTTATGAGGGCACTTCATTTTCCCAGTAAACAAAAAACTTTGAGATGCTTTTCCTTTTGTTTTTCGCCAAAATAAATAAGTGGGGATGAAAAAATTATAGCATTAACAAACTCTAGGCAATCTAGAATCTCAAATACAGCTACAAGGAAGCTTCAAAAGGCAACCCAATTTTGTAATCTTCAAAAATCACAATTTCTTTGTCTTCCCCTATCCATCTTATTTTGTTTTCTGTCTATAAAACTAGAGCCCGTCATATTCCTTTATTCTTGTAGCTGTAAATCCAATCACGTTTCCTTGTTTTCAATACCTATCTCTCTCCATAATTTTGGTGTTTCATGTTATTTCTCGACTCATCTACATTGCCTGCTTCTTCACCTGCTTATGATCTATATACACCAATCAAGGTGTTTTTGTTAAACTTGTAAGAACTCGGTAGTCTCTAATTTTGCTTTACTTGTTCAGAAAAATATGGGTTTTGATTGTTTCTATAGCAGTTTATGATGGATCTTGAAGGTGAAGGTGTTACCCCCAAGGGTCCAATCAAGGTAAGACAAGTGGTAATGATTAGTTCTTTTGAATTGTTACTCTCTTCAAAATCTCAGCTTTTTCTTAATTGATTATTTTTTGTTGTTGATGCAGAAGAAGGAATCATGGAAGACAGTGTTGAGTTTAGCTTATCAGAGTTTAGGTGTTGTTTATGGAGATTTGAGTACTTCCCCTTTATATGTATACAAAAGTGCTTTCGCTGAGGATATTCATCACTCTGATACAAATGAAGAGATTTTTGGGGTTTTATCATTTGTGTTCTGGACATTGACATTGATGCCATTACTGAAATATGTATTTATTGTGCTTAGAGCAGATGATAATGGTGAAGGTGGAACCTTTGCTTTATATTCATTGCTCTGCAGGCATGCAAGGGTCAGTTCTTTGCCCAATTGTCAGCTTGCAGATGAGGAATTATCAGAGTACAAAAAAGATGGGATGGCATCAAATAATAGGAGTCTTTTGGGTTCAAGTTTGAAATCAACTTTAGAGAAACACAAAATATTGCAGAGGCTATTGCTTGTATTGGCTTTGATTGGAACTTGCATGGTCATTGGAGATGGGGTTCTCACACCTGCAATTTCTGGTATGTTTTCAAACATAAAATCTGAGTTTTCATTCATTTTTCCTTGGGTTTATACTTGAGTAACTGGGAATTTTCTGGGTTTCTGCAGTTTTTTCAGCAATTTCAGGTCTGGAGCTTTCCATGTCCAAGGAACAACATCGATGTAAGTCCTTAAATTAGAAGCCTAATTCTCATGTTTCGATTGCAGCATCGGTGAAACATCGATATTTCGTACCAGCAGCTCATCCAAATCCATATTTTGTTTGATGTGCACACACAAGAATGATTAAGTGGGTTATTAAAATTGTGATAAGTGTCTTGCATTAAAGTGGGGTCCCTCATAAGCTTCCTTGCCTTAACAAAACTCCATTCACCATCAAACTTGATTAAATTATGCTTAAATACATTATGTGGAAAGCCAAGTTGATTAACTTTTTTGTTTGTAAATAGAAGTAAAGGTGAAACATGTGGTTAAGAAAAGAAGTTTTAAATTTATAAATCAGAAAAATGACTATGGAAAAGTGTCAATTTTCATATGTTAATTTGTCGTTATAAGGCCAGAAAAAGGTATGTTTGGTAAAGAAAAAGAGTCGGGGTAAACAAAACTACATAGGTTAGTTAATTCGATTCGAATCCTAACTCGTATTTTATATCCATATTAGAATATATATATATGTATGTATGTATGTATTTCATTCATCACCCTATCACGCAGGACTTCCTTTTTAGGAATAGTCAACCTGAAAACATGACTGAAATTTCCCCATAAGAGATTATTCATCATGCATGAAGCACTTTCTAATATATTTCGGTATTTGCTCCGAGTATTTTAAAAAGTATTTATGCTTAACATTCATCTCGTACAGATCTCGTCATGAATATGAAATATGACCCTCAAAAGAGTGACTCGGTTGAGATAGACAGAACCATTTTCTGATTGACTGCCACCACTTAAAATGTGATCAAATCATCTTACTTTTGAATGATATATGAACACTTTGATTTCCCAAAATTTTTACTCTGATTGGATCATATTGTTCTTATTATTATTCCTCTTTATCATGTTTAATTCCTTTTTGAAGTTGGCTTATTCTTTTTTACAAGTGGGCTTTCTTCTGTCTCCTTTACATCCTTTGTTTGCTAGCATTTTCTTTTACGGCTGACATGCACTTGTTTGAGCTTCCTCTCATGGAATCATAATTTTAATAAAAAAACCTAACAAGTTGATGCCAGGTTTAATGTAATTAATTTCAAAAGCTCAAACTCAAAATATTGCTTATGTGCTTTAATATTCTGTTACCTCAGAGTTTATATGATTCTGCAGATGTTGAAGTCCCAGCAGCTTGTGCCATTCTGATATTTTTATTTGCCCTCCAACATTATGGGACGAATCGAGTAGGGTTCTTATTTGCGCCAGTGGTGGTAACATGGCTTTTATGCATCAGTGCCATTGGGGTTTACAATATTTTCCGTTGGAATCCCCATGTTTACAAAGCTCTCTCCCCTTATTACATGTACAAGTTCTTGAAGAAGACCCGAAAGGGTAGTTGGATGTCGCTTGGTGGGATCCTCCTTTGTATAACAGGTACAAAATTGTATGAAAATTGTACGAGTATACACCCATATCCAAATGTGTTTCGAGCATGGTTGTCGTACATGGGTTCTAATGTTGATCTTATTGTTTCAACTATAAATACCCTAGCTCATTTAGCTTCAAAATCATCCCAAAATCTTCCAGTTCTCTATCAAGTGTGTTTTGTAAACACCTGTAATTTTTCTCTTTAGTAAAAGATCTGCAGCAGTCCGGAGACATAAGCACAATTGGCTGAACTCCGTTATCAATTTTTCGGGTATTATTTTTCCGCTTTTATTTCGTATTCTCACAAATCTGGCTATAGAGAAATTACTTGTTACTCGTTTATTTCCTAACAACTGGTATCATGAGCTTTTGGTTGTGAATTTTGCCAATTTTTTCTGCGAGGTTACTATTCACGTGAATAGTGAATTTCGTGAATAGTAAAATTTTGTCGGCGATACGAATTTGTCGACGAAGGTGTTATAAGACACGGTGGTTCGCACAAATTGTCAGAAACGATCCGAAGTAGTCAGATTCGAGTGGGAGCGATGGTTGCAGACGAAGGGAAGGTAAAAATTGAAAAGTTCGGTGGTGCGGACTTTGGCTTCTGGAAGATGCAGATCGAAGATTTTCTGTACCAGAAAAATCTATATCAACCCCTCTCAGGAAAACAACCAGAGGGCATGAAGAATGAAGACTGAGCTCTTCTCGACCGACAAGCCCTCGGAGTTATCCGACTGACGTTGTCCCGAAATGTTGCTTTCAACATAGCAAAGGAAAAAGACCACGGCGGGTCTTATGGCAGCTCTCTCCAGTATGTATGAGAAGCCATCGACCTCAAACAAAGTTCATTTGATGAGGCAATTATTCAATTTGCGGATGACGGAAAGGGCATCGGTAGCACAACACCTAAATGAACTCAACACAATCACAACCCAGTTGAGTTCAGTGGAAATTGAATTCGATGATGAAGTTCGAGCTTTAATTCTCTTATCATCTTTACCAGATAGTTGGAATGCTACTGTTACAGCAGTCAGCAGTTCGTCGGGAAATAGCAAATTAAAATTCGACGATGTTCGGGATCTGGAACTAAGCGAAGAAATTCGGCGGAGAGAATCGGGTGAAGCATCAACCTCCTCAGCTTTGCACACAGAGTCCAGAGGGAGAACTTCAGAAAAGAATTCAAATCGTAGCAGATCGAAATCCAGAAGGGGAAAATCAAGAACGGGAGATAAAGATTTTACCTGTTATAATTGTGGCAAGAAGGGTCACTTTAAAAGAGACTGTCGAGCACTAAAGAAAAATACCGGCGCACAAGAATCTGCAAACATGACAGAGGAGACAGGTGATGCCATGATTCTAAGCGTCAACAGTCCGATTGAATCATAGATCTTGGTTTCAGGGGCATCTTTCCACTCCACCCCATGCCGAGAAATCATGAAAAATTATGTTAGTGGTGATTTTGGGAAGGTTCATCTAGCTGATGATGAAACCTTAAAGATCGTCGGAAAAGGAGACATCCGACTAAAGTTGCCAAACCAAACCACCTGGACGCTGAAAGGAGTGAGACATATTCCTGGCCTCAAAAGAAATTTGATTTCTGTAGGACAGCTTGATGGTGAAGGATTTAGCACAACCTTTTCAGGCTGTGAATGGAAGATTACCAAAGGAGCACTCGTCATTGCTCGTGGTAAGAAAACTGGTACTCTCTATATAACATCAAATTTAGAGAATATCATTGTAGTAGCAGATGCTGATGGAAAATCAAACCTATGGCACCAAAGGCTTGGCCATATGAGCGAGAAAGGGATGAAGACACTTTTGTCAAAGGGGAAGCTGCCGGATCTAAAGAATGTAGATGTCGGACTATGCGAGGATTACATCTTTGGCAAACAAAAGAAAGTCAGCTTTGCAAAGATTGGTAAGACACCCAAGGCTAAAAAGTTAGAGTTAGTTCATACTGATGTATGGGGACCATCTCCAGTTCCATCTCTTGCAGGCTCATTATATTATGTCACATTCATCGATGATTCTACAAAGAAGGTGTGGGTTTATTTTCTGAAGAAAAAATCAGAAGTCTTTGATACCTTCAGAAAATGGAAGGCCATGGTGAAAAATGAGACTGGTATGAAAGTCAAGCGGTTGAGGTCTGACAATGGAGGAGAGTACAGAAATAGGAGATTCAGAGATTTTTGCGCAAACAATGGGATCAAGATGGAGACAACAGTTCCCATGACACCGCAGCAGAATGGCGTAGCAGAGCGCATGAACAGAACTCTGAATGAACGTGCCAGAAGCATGAGGATACATGTCGGATTGCCCAAATTTCTATGGGCTGAAGCTATCAACACTGCAGCTTACCTGATCAACCGTGGGCCCTCAGTTCCATTGGATGGCAGAATACCAGAGGAAGTTTGAAGCAAGAAAGAAATAAACATTTCACACTTAAGAGTGTTGGTTGTAATTCTTATGTACACATAGACTCTGCTGAAAGAAGTAAACTTGATGCTAAGTCCAACAAATGTGCCTTTGTTGGTTACGGCGGTGATGAGTTCGGTTACCGGTTTTGGGACTATGAAAATCGAAAGATCATCAGAAGCAGAGACGTCATTTTCAATGAAAATGTGATGTACAAAGACAGGCCAACCGTAGAATCAAGTAATACCGAAGCTGAAACAAAAGAATTTGCTGAGTTCGAGGAGATTTCTGGAAATGATGTTCAGATCAGTCCTGAAGCAGTTCAAGAGGAAGAACCT